AATCCCTCCAAGACTGTTGGAACAACAAAAGTGATGGTTTGGTGTGGTATATGGGGTACAACGATAGTGGGTCCATTCTTCATCAATGGAAACCTCAAGGCCACTGGATATTTGAAATTGCTACATGATGATGTGTTTCCCTCTTTAAGCACTGAAGCTGGCACGTTCCCTGAGTTTTTCCAGCAAGATGGTGCACCACCACATTATGGGTGCCAGGTCCGAGCATTCCTAGATGGACAGTTTCCTGGAAAGTGGATTGGTCGTGCATTTCTCCTGCGGTGTTGCTATCAGTGTGTGAAGAGTGGGAGAAGAGGGTTGCATTGACAATCCAACACAATGGGCAGCACCATTGAACACATTTTATAAGTGGTCAGAAACTTGTAAATAACTCATGAAAGAATAAAGTTACGTTGAAACCATGCACACCATTGTTTTTCTTGTGACATTACCAATAAGTTTGATGTGTCACATGACCCTCTTCGTATTGAAAAAACAAGTTGTATCCAAGATGGCCGACTTCTAAATGGCCACCATGGTCACCACCCATCATGAGGAGTTTGCCCCCTCACATATACTAATGTGCCACAAACAGGACTTTCATATCACCAACCATTCCCATTTTATTACGGTGTATCCATATAAATGGCCCACCCTGTAGTTAATGCAACATAATAGAGGGGGTGGGGCTTCTCCTTACCAGGTAGCCAATGGGAGACTTCTTACTCTTTGAGAACTTCTCTAACTCATCCCACTCCTCCTTCTCCGCCAGAGACTTCAACTTCAACCACCAATACCTGCACAGGTGAGAGAGGCAACCAGGTGAGAGAGGCAACCAGGTGAGAGGGACAGACAGGAAAGACCGTAGTAAAAGACTGAGAGCCAATAACAGCGCAGCCTCAGTGACACACCTTTTGTCAGGTACTCTGAAGTCTTTGTAAAGCTGCTCTGCCTGTTTGTGGAGTCCTAATGACAACAGCGTCTCCATGGTCACCTGCAAACAGCAAGTGACATGACAGCACACACACACACACAGTAGATGTAACTATGGTCACAATCAGCAGAAACAAGTTTTCATCAGTTGCTTAAATCAAACCGCAGATTCGTCCAATCTGATTGGCTGTCCCAGAACTTAGAAGCTACATGGAGGAAGTCTGGGTCTGTAATGATCTGAGGAGGAGCGCTTTAAAGCGGAGCGACCACACTGGCCTCTTTAAAGTAACCTGGAGTACTGCCAGGTGATGGAGACTGAGAACACAGAGCATGCAGGTGGAGGTAACTGGTAGAGGGAAACGTCAGCTGGCCAGGGAGCCCCGCCCCTTGTATCTACCTGTAGGGAAAGTCCAAGAAGCCCCGCCCCTTTCTCATCGTCCAGTTTGCGCTGAAAACGGAGCAGACGCATCTCGTCCTCTGTGGTCTGCAGACAAATCAGTGAAACACACCTGAGCATCAGGTACAAACACACACCTGCAAACACGTCTTATTGTTCGTTTGTTACCTTTACTGCAAACTCATTCTTGGCCTTGTTGTACTCATCGACAGCGCTCTGCAGGAGAGACAGCCGGCCCTCCAACCTCTGCAGATGGACAGGTGAACAGCAGACAGGTGATTACAGTGAAGATGGACGAGTCTAATCTCTGCTGGGCGTGACGGTTAGCAGTCCTCACCTTTTCCCTGTAGCTTGCAGTGACGTAATAGTTGGCCAGTTCCTGGTGGTCATCGTCCTGGTTATACAGGTCCTTCAGAGTTTCCTGCTCCTGCAGCTTACAGAACTGACAGCAAACAAATGTAAACAAAGACACACATTACCAAATGTAAACCAGGAGGAGGAGAGCGGTAGTGGTGAAGTTGGGTGCACCTGTCTGTAAAGGCTGAGAGCGACCGGCTGGTTCCTCAGAGTCATGAAGAAATCTCCTCTGTTCATCTCGTTCTTCAGGTACGACACCACTGTGTACACTGACAACACACACAGCCAACTGTCAGTGTGACATCATCCATCTGGCAAACACATAAGGTGTGGGGCTGAAACACTCACCCAAGTCGGTATCTCCGCTCTCTACAGCTTTACTGAGAGCCAGCTGACTCCTCTTCATCTTTAGCAGCAGAGGAACCTGCTCTCCAGACCGAGCCTCGAAGTCCAGGAGCTGATAGAGACACACAGGGACAAATACTGAAAAATGCTCGACCACACTCAATATCAAAAGCGTCAGAGAAAATCCTGAAAGACCCTGCTGAATATAGCAGATGGGCAGTGACCATCCAACTGAAACCTGGCTCCAAATCTGTCCAAAAACCACTGAACCATCCATCCGCTTATCCTTTTCAGGGTCGCGTGGGGCGCTGGAGCCTATCCCAGCTGTCATAGGGCGAGAGGCGGGGT